GAACCGCGATCCCTGATGCTTTGCCAAGCTTGTTCTAAGTAGGTGCTTCAGACCACTGAGCCATCTCTCCAGCCCTGCACAGAAACTCTTTAACAAAGCATGAGTAAATGATATTTACTTTCTGAGGTGATTTCTACATCATGCTCTAAAAAAATACTCCTTTAGTTTCAGTAATTCTGTAAAACACATCTATGACAGTTTTTCAAAACAAGTGTAGCTCGCATAAACATTTTTATAATACAACCTTACAATTTTTGAAAAACCGTTTGTTAGTAATGTTTGCTTGTATGTACATTACATTACTCTAGAAAGTTTTGTAAAATGTTTATTGATTTATAACACTGAAATTATAATCTGCACCTTTGCTCACTGAGCTCATCCCTTTCTTATGCATGCTCCAAAGAAACACTTCACAATTACTTTGCTAGAAGATATTTTCATCAACCTAACCTATTATTGGCCACTGTGAAGTAACTGTATCATCCTGAAGTGTATATGTCACCCTGAGTGACATATTTCACAAATACATAACAATGTCATTTCATTTGGGTTAGATTTTGAGATCTATTTTCCAAAATACAATGAGCAACAGTTCTGTCTCATTATTTTTAGGAAGATTTGAGTATACACTTACCACATTAGGATTAAAGGGTGGAGGAATCCTCTTTTGTACAAGGTCAGTCCAACTGAGTGATTCAAAAAACGGATGATTCTGAATTTCCAGCTAGAATATTAAAAAAATTATTAATGATAAAAAAAGATATTAAATACTCACATATTAAATTTTATGAGGCCAAACTGTTGCCACCATGCCTCTCAATAACTCTTCTAGGTATATGTGTATGTCATTCATGTGGCAAGCCATTAGAGACTATCAACAGCGCAAACCTTTCAAAGACAACTGTTTTGCTACAAAGAAGGATAAACTTGAATCTTTTTTTTCTTTTTCTTTTTTTTTTTTGTGTGGAACCAGGGATTGAACTTAGACCCTTGCACTTGCCAGGGAAGTGCTTATTCTACTGAGCCATCTCCCCGGCCTAAACTTGAATCATTAATAGGAAAATGGATGCATCCTGAGACCATAAATAAAATAAATCAGACAAGCTTAAATATCACATGGTTTCTCTCATATGAGAAACCTAAATATAAAGAAAGAACAAAATAAAAGATAATAGGGAGGGAGAGCTTCTGCAAAAGGAAAGGGAACAAAGAGATGGAGGGAAGGTATAGGAAAGGAATGAAAAAATAATTAAGATTTTAATAGGTACATGTTATTAATGCCCCATAAGGAATGTAATCATGCACTAATAAAGAAATAAAGATTGGACCTGGAATTTTGCATATGCTACGGCAAGTGCTCTCTGCCAGTGACCTATAGATCCAGTCAACTTTTATTCTTCTATAGGCATATAAATTAAAATGCTAAGTTGTTTGCTTGGCATTAGAACAGTATTAATTAATGTAGTAATTCATACAACTTTCCTCAAGTTAATCAGAGGTTCTGTCTAGACTTCTTTAGTGAAAACTGGGGACATAGTTTGAATAGCATAGCAAACATCCTTTAGTCAATGAATCTCTGATAAGTAGTGTTTTCAAGAAAGGGAACATAAGATGATCTCTAGTGACAGAAAAAGTTCAGCACCAGTGTATTAAATAAGTCCTATTTTTAAAAAGTTAAAGGCAAAATTTCAAAGTTTGGAGAGGTTTGAAATAGTTAAAGTAGAGTAGTAGAGTAAGTTGAGTGAACAATGTAACGAGGCTTATGACAATGAAGTTCCAGTGCTTCCATTATGCCCAGATGTTACTTTCCTCAGCACTGTACAGCAGCCCAGTATATGATAGTTGGATTTGTTTGATTTCTGATAGTGAAGTATTAGCACCCTGAATAGGAAACTGTTGGAACAGTTACCTGCTGAACTGCAGAGTAAGGGGACTAGGAAAACAGTGGCAGAGTAATACTAGTGACATAGTAGCAAATTACTCTGATTTAATACAAACAAAAAAAAATTCAGAATCCATTGTTATCTCAATGTTACCAAATTCTCTAAAACAAAAGCAAAAATAAGGACAGTGATTAATATTAGTTTGATACAAAAGGCAAAACTTCATGCAGACAAAGAGGCACTTCAAATAAAAAGATAAATGAAAATGCTTTAAATACTGTATAGTTTCATGTGAACACTAGTGAAAATTGTGGGATGTGTTTTTCAGCTGTGCTACTGTGCTACTCTGTAATAGTGATATTCATTCCAATAAATACGCTATCCAAGGATTTGTCTCCAAATTTTAAATAAGCTTAAATAAAGCTAGAACTAGAAAACATATTACATACAAAGTCTTCTTTGGCACCAAGTCGATTTTGCCTGTCTTTTTCTAAGAGTTCTTCCAGAATGGACCAGGCTGTAAGGCTCACTCCTGGCCTCAAATTTAGGGGCTTGTGAAGAATATTATCGTACATTTCAGCAACATCTCGGCAGTAAAAAGGTGGCTGCAAAAGAGGAAAGCAAAATAAAGCAACTCAATAGGAAGTGAATTACACCAAAATGGTTTTAGAACAGATTTGGCTTTGACTTGCAGGGAGCATTTGGGTCTGAACAGCTGCTGACATGGATGGGACGTGCAGAGACGTGCAGGGACCTGTGGCATGGCCTCATGATGGAGAGGTGATCATAGTTAAGGGAAGGGACAGTTGGCTTTCACAGGAATCTATCATGCTAAATTAGTGAGATGCAACAAATGCTCTGAAAAAGGTATCATGTGCTGAACTTCACTGACAGTTCCATAGATCTCAGGAAAAATACACACATTACTACCTCAGGTCTCGACTGACACACCAGTAGCATTTAGTATCCGTGTTGGCAGCAACCTCAGTTTGCAGTGTGGTTCCTGGCAAAAAGTTTCTGGATACTTATGGAATCACAAAGGGAATCTAAGAAATTATTCAAAAGATTTCAAAAGGCTTAGAGAAAACCATTATTTCTGTTACAGACTAATATGTCAAAAAAGTTTGCTTTGGGTTGGAGCGATACCATCTCAATAGAACAGCACATTCTTCATTTTAATAGAAGGCTCTTGTTGGCTTTATGTGTTTTTACTTAATAAAAACTGGGCAAATCTGTACAGTAAATATCATCCTCTCTTTTTTTCAATGGACTTTTCAAAGAATGGTGTTTTTAAGGGGAAAAAACAGACGATCTCCAGTGACAGAGAAAGCTGAGCACTAGTGTACTGACTGAATCCTAGAAAGACGAAATAAAAGGTAAAAACCAAAAGAAATTATCTTTTGAAATACAGTAATATGTTGATAAATGCCATCTTTCTGAATTAGAGGTTATTTAGGTTAGAGTCATGCACCCAGGTGACTACTGCTGCTGTTAGTGTTATGTAAATGTCTTGAGATCTTAAAGAATGTGCTAAATCCATGATGATGTATTGGAATAATCAAAGAACAGCAATGCATACCAATCCATACAGCATCTCATAGAGAACAGCACCAAGGCACCACCAATCCACAGTGTTGTCATAGGGCTGTTTCCTGATTACTTCAGGTGCAAGGTACTATAGAAAAGAATGAAACAACAATAGTAAAACTCAGGGTAAAAGTTAGGAATAACTGAGAAATTTAAGAATTTTTCAATGTTACTGACACAGTCAGAGACCACCACAGGGACAGAAATATAATTATTATTCATCAAAAGTATGAATAATGTGTTTTCTTTTAAGGCAGTCAGGGATCTAAAATCAGTTTTTGCTAAAAAGTAGTAAATATTACTTGTAGCCTATAGATGCACAAGAGGTAACTATAAACAAAAAACATGCTTGACCTTCATTTGTTACCTTAAAGCTGGGTCAGACCCTTGCTCAATTCTAAAGATAGGCATGCTAATTCTTTAGTGAGTGTCTAAAAGCTGGAAAGGTTGATTTGTTCTAAATTTACAAGATTCAGTCTTCTCTCTTGTAAAACAGAGAACACCAAGGTAAGAGATTTACAGGGACACTCAACTATCAGTAAGTAGCAAGAAGTCTGCAGTCATTACTTAGACCTACAGTCACTTTGATTCCAGCAGAGCCTTCACAAAACCCCAAGCAGAAGTAATCATCTCAAGGGGACTGAGCTACCTTCTTAAGTAACAAGTTCTTTCCCTAGTGCCATCCTGCAAACCAGAACCAAGACAATGATCAACCAGATAAGCCCATTACTACAAATCCATAAAAGCTGGTCTCCTGTTTTATTCACAGGCCAGTCTGGTCCTCTTTATCAGAACTGTGCCCTTCAGTTTCTTAGGCTTAAATCCCTTCCCTATTTTCTCTTACTTTCTAATTCTCACTAATATGCCTACTTATGCCTCACACTAACCCACCTTAACACGCTGTTCTGTCACAATAGTTGGCAAATTCATCTAGGGAAGAGTGAGGTCTTCATTCTCTCTTTAGAGGAATCTCCTAGGCCCCTATCCAGTGACATCATCACATTAACAGTATTATCATGAATGCCAGGTGTGATGGTGCATGCCTATAATCCCAGCACTCAGGAAGGAGGCTGAGGCAGAAATATCACTGGAAGTTTGAGATCAGCTTGGTCTACAGAGTGAGCTCCAGGGCAGCCTGAACTGCATAATGAGACCCTGACTCAAAAAACATAAAACGTTATCAGGGGTTGGGGGTGTAGCTCAGCAGCAGAGTACTTGCTTAGCATGCACAAGGTGCTCAGTTCAACCTATAACACTTAAATTTTAAAAATTATAGTGTGTACTCATTCTTTTTTTTTTTTTAATTTTATTTATTTATTTATATGTGTGTGGGGGGCAGCTCAGGCCACCAGGGGGCGGGGCTGGCTGGCATGTGGTGCTGGGGGATTGAACCGCGGTCCCTGCATTTTGCTAAGCTTGTTCTAAGTAGGTGCTTTAGACCACTGAGCCATCTCACCAGCCCCAATGTGTGTACTCATTCTATAATAGTGGTTCTTAGACAGTGCCAACTGGAATACTCTTCAAAACACCCTCAAGCATCTCCCCCAAGAAACTGACTCAACTAAGACACACAGAGAGGATGCAAAGGCAGGATCTGTAATACTGAGTACTAAAAGCAGGCATTTTGCAACAAAGTCTTTTATCAGAAGAACTTATTTTTAGAAGTCCACCTTGCTAGGGATATAGCTAAGTGGCATTAGTGTCTGCCTGGCAAATGCAAGGTCCTAAGTTTGATCCCTGACACCAAAAAAAAAAAAAAAAAAAAAAAAAAAAAAAAGAAAAGAAAAGAAAGAAAGAAAGAAACAAAAAAGTCCACCTGATCATAATTTATAGTATTTTTCCTTGAAGAAACAATTTTTTTCTTTTTCTCTTTTTGGGAGGGAGCTCCAGTGAGTCCCCCTTTCTCAGTGTCCAAGGGAGCTAGCTGACAATATAAATGCATGATGCTATGCTTGGTTTAAGAAAGAATTTTTTATGTGGCAATAAAAATTACTTCTTTTCTTTCAGTGAAAGAAAAGCCTGAATTTCATTCTTAGTTCAGACATATTCTCAAGCTTAATAATATGTAACTTTGCTGTGTGACTAATTTACAAAAAAACATAATTTTCATACTTATAAGAATTTGAATTTTAGATTCCAAAATATACAATATCTTTATGCATATAAAGAGAATTTCCCCTTAAGCCTTTTTATGTGACACAAAGAAATGACCACAAAAATAAAAAGGGTGTAATAATAACCTCTGATCACATTTAAATTTTATTTTATTTTATTTATTTATTTTTGTATTTTAGGGAAGGGTCTACATGGTGTTCAGGGTCTCACTACTAGATTGGACTCATAGTGATTCTCCTGTTTACAGCCTCCCAAGAGTTGGGATTACGGCATGCACTACTGTGCCCAGTCTCAAATGCTGTCTCAGCGCACCCTGGCTGGCACGGTAGGCCCGGAGATCGAACCCTGGTCCCTGCACCTGCTTGCAGGCACTTTAATCTGCTGAGCTATTTGGCCAGCTCCTTTGATCATATTTAAATTTTAAATGACAAAAAACCCTTGTGTGTCTTTTCTAAAAACTACAGGACTTAAGAAAGACTTGGGGCTGGGGAGTTAGCTCAGTAGAATAAGCACTTGCCTGGCAAACGCAAGGGCCTGAGTTCAATCCCTAGTTCCACCAAAAAAGAAAGACTTTACTAACTATGAAAACAGTGCTATGTTCACACAAAACACACAAAGTTTCTTCTCACTATAAACCAAAGGGTTATGTGTATGTGTGTGTGTGTGTATATATATCTATATTGTATTTGCAATTACTCTACAAAAATAGCATTACATGGTACCTAAGATCCCTGTACAATTACAATATTAGGGTAGTGTGAAGTAACCTAAACTTGTATGTACTGATGTAGAAAGTGAAAATAAGCCTTTTAAAGACGTTGTAAGAATTATTAATGTCACAAATAAAAAAATACATTTTCGGGGCCGGGGAGATGGCTCAGTAGGATAAGCGCTTGACTGGCAAACGCAAGAATCTGAGTTCAATCCCTGGTTCCGCAAAAAACAAAACAAAACAAAACAAAACAAAACACATTTTGTCCTAGATGACTGGAGAATGAGATACACTGATAGATAAATTGATTCACGGTTTTTTTCTCATATCAATTACTTTTGTTCTGTTAAATATTTAACTACAAAATATTCCAATCACACAGGAAAGCGTAACAGAAACCAGCAAAATTACTACACAGAAATAGGCAATGTTAATAGTTTGCCCTTTTTGCTGTAGTTTATCCAATCCAATCCAAACCAAACCAAAGCCAACCAAATGAAACCAAACCAAACCAGTGGCACAGGCTTGTGATCCTAGTTATTCTGGAGGCTGAGATGAGAGGACTACAGGTTTGAGGTCAGCTTAGGCAAGATGTTTAAAAAACAAAGACCTGGGGAGCCTGGAGATGCAGGTTAATGATAGAGCAGCTGCTAGCTGGGTTCAATTCCTAATCTCTCTCTCTCGCTCACTGCAGCTCTTTTTAGTATAGATTCAGTGTAAGATATGCCTGGTATTGTGCAATCTTTGCATAACTGTACCTCTCCCTCTGACATTTTAGGACATTTTTACTAATTTGTGATTTTTTTAAAAAAGATTAGAAATATAATCAAATGCTAAGTCTAAGGTAAACTTTCAATATTAAAAACAAATTTAAAAAAACAAAGACATCATCTTTTTTTTGATTATTCAAAAGGATCCTGTGGTTTATCTCATTATCCCACTGAAAAATACCAACTATCAATAAACTTTAACTATCAAAAAGTACAGTCACTGGCTCTAAGATGAAATGACAGTTTTTATGTTACTTTCCTATCTCAATTTTGTATATGGGATGTTTCCCATTTGTATTTAAAAATTATTCTAATAATGATAAGACCTACTTCTTACCTCTGGTGTCCCACAAAATGTTGTAGTGGTATCAGAGATAGCAATTCCTTCCTTACAGAGCCCAAAATCTGTTAAGACAACATGTCCCTGACGAATACAAGAACAGTAAGATAAGTAAAAATGGACACAAACTAATAACCTTAAAATCTTTTTTATTTTGAAATAATTATAGACCCAGAGGAAATGACACAAATAGTACATGTCTCATGTGCCCTTGTTCAGCTTCCTTAATGCTGACATCTTGCATCACTGCAGTATAGTACAGAATGGACGCTAACGTTGGTACAACACTGTTAACTGGACTACTGACCTTACCCAGTTTCACTGTTCTGGACATGCACACTATGTGCGTATGTGTTCTATTAAATATACATGTAGATTCATGAGCTGTTTCATCACAAAGGAACTCCTTGTGCTACTCCTTTATCTTTGTATTCTCTTCCTTTGACCCTGTTTCCTTGTAACCACTAATTTGTTCTTTGCAGTTTTGTCATTTTGAGAATGTTATATAAATGCATTCATGCAGTGTGGAAGCTCAAGACTTTTTCCCTCCCACTTAGAACAAAGAAAAAACTAGTAGATTTTTAAAAGATTAATAGTTACCACTGAATCCAAAAGAATATTTTCTGGTTTCAAGTCTCTATAAAATTAAAGAAAATAAAAAATACCCTGAGTATTGAAATAAAATATTAAAATGATATTCTTACATATAAAACTTAACCAATTTACCTGTACACTATTTTGATGGAGTGCAAGTAACCCAATGCACTGGCAATTTCGGCAGCATAAAATCTCGCTCTGTGTTCAGGAAAGGAACGTTCTCTTTGTAAGTGAAAAAATAGCTGAAAAATGTGGGGAGATGTTAGGAGCATTCACACAGTGTTAAAAAAATGTGTTCTATAAATACAAAGGTAGAAATTATTTCTGATATTTTCAACATGAGATACATATATACCAAAACCCAGAGGTGTGACCTTTCTTGTCCAATATTCACATCTTTCTCTCTTTAACACATATTGTTACCCTGGCTAACTTTACTATTCTCCCACATAGTCCTTAATCCTCAGTGTGGCAGCATCCTCACCATTCCAGACAAGCATGCTAGGTAAGAATATCAAGGACCAGTAGTCTTTGTCATGTGATTATCTTACAGGGCCCTTATGGACTTTTCATTAAAAAACAAACCAACAAATACAAGTGGTATAACCCATAGATATCCTGTATTTCTTTTTTTTTTTTTAATCCCGTATTTCAAGATAATTTTTTTGTTGTTGTAGTAGTACTGTGTATTGAACAAAGGGTTTCTACTGCAAAAAACTATTTTTGCCTGCTGTTTTTTCTTAAGTATTTTATTATTATTATTATTATTATTATTAGTAGTAGTAGTAGTAGTAGTACTGGGGCTCAAACTCAGGACCCTGTGCTTGCCAGGCAGGTGCTTAGGCCACTGAGCTATCTCCCTGGCCCTTCTTAAGTATTTTATAAGTCATCATATTTACTTGTCTAAAACAGAGACACTTTTTTTTTCTCTTATACACTTATTACTGCTATTGCATTCTCTCCAGCTCTCTAAGTCACAGAAGAGGCAAAAGCGCTGTACACAAAGAAGATTCAGAACTAATCAGATGTGAGTTCAGCTTTTGGCTCATCTCTCTTGTGTGTAATTCATCTAAGCTCTCTGGATTCACCACAACTGTTACATTACTCTTTAGCCCCTGCAGCAAACAAATAAATTCTTCTGTTTTATCTCTGAAGTATTTCTGGAATACTTTTCCCCTTCTTACCCCTACCATTGCTTTTATTAGTTGTAGCCTATACTACCACAAGATTCTATTTATTGATCTCCTAATCGAATTTGGCTGATACATTAACAACTAAAATGACAATTCTGACTATGTCACTAGTAACAGCTATGTAACTAATATACTGATTGCTTAGTAAATGAAAAGACAGTATGCTAAGGACTTTACATGCCTGTGTTATTTTCTCCATATAATAATTTTGAGGTCAGAAATAAAGAAGAAACTAAAAATCAAAAAGGCTTCTCTGTTCCATATCATATAATTTATGTTGATACTCTTTAAAAAAAAAAAAAAAAAACAAAGTAGTGCACAAAAATATCTTGTCAAAGTTAAAATATAAGTATGAACATCAGGAGGAAAATAATGGTCAATAATAAAGTGGGATGGCAGTCACCGGGATGGGCAAGTGGTAAGGACAGGACTTCAAGTCTAGTAACAGGAGGAACAGAGGACTAAGCTGTATTTATCCTGCTTCCCTCTATCCTTTCCCTCGCCCTTATTCCTTATATGCCTACAGTCCCACTCAACTCCTCCACTCATCACTGCATTCTGTGCTACTCCATTCTCTTAGCCAAGTGCATCTTTTAGACGCACTCTTTCCTCCTCTGCAGTTCAGTTTATGAACAGCCACTATATAAAAAGGGCTTAGAAGCAAAGTTCTAAAATAGCACAAAGAGACCATAGATAAAACAGGAAACCTGCAGTAGGATCTTGTTTACAGTTAGATGCCTTACATAAGCATTTCAAAGACACCAAGTAGTACTTAATAAGTCAGTTATGGAGTGCACACAGTAATCCCATTTGCTTGGGAAGCTAAGGGAAAAGGATCTCAAGTTTGAGGCCACCCTGGGGAATAAATATAGCAACATTCTCTTACAAAAAGCCAAGAAGACTTCGTAGTCAGAATGTCTCAATTAAATCTAGAGCCTGGCCTGACACTAAAATACTGTGACTGGGCCGGCCTGATAGCACAGCAGACTAAAGCGCCAGCTTAGGCGTTTGAGTAGTGTGCCTTGCTGGCCCTGTCCGCAGGGCACGCTGAGACAGAGAATGACACTGGGCATGGTGGCGTGTGCCTATAATCCCAGCACTTGGGAGGCTGAAAACAGGAGAATCACTATGAGTCTGATCTAAGTAGTGAGAACCTATCCTAAATACAGAAAAAAACAAAACAAAACAAAAAACACAAAAACAAACACTAGAAATAAAATATTGTGACACTAACGAAGTTAATAACCTCTCTGAGTTTCAACTTTTAAATTTTTTTTCAGTAATGGGTATTGAACCCAGGGTCCTCTCACTGACTTATGGTCCCAGCCCTTTGTCTGAAACAAAAAATTTAATGCAAATGCATTTAAATTCTGCAGGCTGAGTTTGAACTTTGGTCCTTCTGCCTCAGCCTCCTAGAGTTCAGGGACTATAGGTATCTACTACTATGCCTGGCCTAGCCTATTTTATAGATAAGAAAATTGATCTGGGATAGTGACATATGTCTGTAGTCCCAGCACTCTGGACGCCTGAGAGGAAGATCACAAATTCAATCCCAGAAAGTGGAACTTAGTGAGACCTTGTCTCAAAAATAGGAAGTATAACAAGGACTGGGGATGGAGCTCATTCTGAAGGCCCTGGTTTTAATCACCAGCACTGGTTTAAAAAAAAAAAAAAAAAAAAAAGAGAGTATTAAGTGTTTATCTCTGAGCTGTGATGATTAACTGAAATAATGCATGTAACACAAAGTGCTAAGCCCTCATCAAATTCTAACAAATTTAACTTGTTAGCACTCAGACACACACAAAGTAAAATGATCACATTGAAGGTGGGAACAGTGTAGAGTCATGTGTATCTCTGAATGACTGGAAATTATGCCTCCTTGCTCAGTCTTAAGAAACTTTTGTCATTTGTAGGGAGATCAACAGATGCTTCTTTATAAGCTTGTCCTGCTATGCTATAGGTGTCTCTCAGATTTGTGGAATAGCATCTGTTCTAGTTACGTGTTCTACAATAATGTTTAAATTTTATTTTTCTTCTCTCTCTGCTCTGAGATTAGAAGAGGGAAAATTCCTTTGTAAAGGAATGACAATTTTTATTGGTTAAAATAATTTTTATACATTTATAGTCAAGGACCAAACAAATTAGAAAGACATGAAGTTGAAAAGTAGATAAATGGGGGTGACTCACTACTTATACTCTGGAATCAGCCTATCTGATGCCCAATTTCCATTTCTGTATCCCATAATTATCAACTATAGCACATGACTTCCACAAGTTTCTCTGTTCCTAGTCTTCTGTAAGATTTTTGTGAAGATAAAATAAGAAGAAAGGACCAGTGAAATAGCTCAGTGGGCTGAGCACCTGCTTTGGCAAGCACAGAGACAGGGTTCGATCCCTGGTCCTGCATGCCACACGCCCCTCCCCTGCTGACCCTGGTCTGTGCTGAGCAGGTGATCGAGTCAGGGCATGGTGGTGCATACCTGTAATCCCAGCATTGAGAGGCTGAAAACAGGAAGATCACTATGAGTCTGAGCTACATAGTGAGACTCTATACCACATACATAAAATGGAAAAAAAAAAAA